GAATCATACACCGCCATATGCTATGTCTTTTGTGCATTTGGTGAGTAGTGGAGCAGGCCCCACTGGACGTATTCGTAAGAAAACAAAAACAAAAACAAAAAAACGAGAGAGCCACGGACATCTTCATCCTAAGTTTCCTAACCCATAACTGCCGACATGCGGACCTGAACGCCAATCTTCAACATATATTGGTGGTCGGCTACCAATGGAACATTCAATTTCCGACTTCTGCGAAGCTTCGCGGGGCATGTCGTTATTAGGCGACTACCCCTTCTTGCGAACTGACCCCCACTACTGTGTGGGATTTGCAGAAGGCAGTGGGAAGGACATCTCTCATACCCCGCCTAAAACAAAAGTTGGAATGACCCCTATTTTGTGCCTCGCCATTCGAAACTTTTTGGGGAAGGGCCTGYGCAAATCGAATTTTCAGCAGCCCTTACCCAAAAGAAAAGTTCGGGCCGTGGGCACGGCCGGTTTGTGAACTCGCGCGGTGAGTTTAACATTTTTGCCGAGTTGGGGGCCCTAAGAAATTAGAAAACCCTTACTTTTTTTACTTTTTTTTTTGGACCTAATTTTTCAAGTGCGCTGCGCTTCGGTGCGTTGTCCGGTGCGCGGCGCGATGTGCGCAAACCGTGCCCAAACCGGCGCACCGACGTGCGCCGCAACTATGGTTCAAACATATATTAAAATCTTGGATGAACATGTTACTAAGACATTCACCCCGGAAGTCATAGAGAAGATTGTAAAGCGAGCTGGAGGTGGCGTAGGAGATGATGATGACGACGGCGATGATGACAAGAAAGGGAAGAAGAAGATGGGGGATCCAAAAGAAAAACTTCCTCAGGAAACCGGGCAGGTTAACAAAATAAAACTTAAACTGCCGTGGACCTATAATGGAAAGAAGGAGGAAAGTGTTCTGCATTGGGCGGCAGCAATTGAAACCTATGTGTACGGACATCGAATCCCATATTCGGATAGGGTATTAATGGCAACTTCATGCATGGGAGGCGACGCCATGAGCTTCGCCATCTCGCTGCAAAAAGAGGCGGGATGCAGCTCTATGGTAGAGTATTCGCAACAAACGCGAATTGAAGATTTCCTTAAGTTGATCAGAGAAAGATTTGAGGACAATAACTTGGCAAGGCGCACAGAAATGTTGATCCTCAGCCTCCCCGGTAGGAAATGGAAGAGTACTTCTGCATTAAAGGCAACTATGGATGAGTTATTACAATGCCCTGATCATGGATTGACGCCAGCCCAAATCTTGAACAGTTTTGCACGAGCACTCTCGGATCCTTTGAGAACACAATTCTATCCCCGTACCAAAGAAGAGGGGATGACATACGAGAAGTTCGGCAAGATCGCAATAGATCACGCCGGCTTCCTCGCCGAAGCGAACTATTGCCATTACTGGAAGGATCTGCAAGCGGGTAAAAGATGGCAAAACCGCACGATCTCAGGGTCTATACCTGGGAAGGACAGTCTCCTTCTAACCTTTGAGGAAGGAGGCGCCGAGACCATCTCCTGGGATCAGGTAGACTGTGGTCTCGATGAACCCAACAGACCGGTAGCTCAGGAGGGGAGTTACGCGGCTGTTGCAGCCCGCGAGGGAGGGCGTCAAGGAAGAGGGCGTGTCCGAGGAAGAGGTCGCGGCCGTGGTGGACGAGGATTCGGCACCCAGAGGGGTGGTGGTGAAGGAAGCCACTACGTGGGAGGAAGGGGAAATGGTCCCTCCTACGGTGGTCGTGGTTCTTACTACACTTGGGGTAGAGGAAGAGGCATATGGTACAATAAGTGGGACAAGCCATACCCACCACATCCAGGCCTACCCGAAGGAGAGCCTTGGAAAGATATGGGAATCACAAAAAAGGTAGGGGCAGAGAGAAAGAAAGCAGACCAATGCCTCAAATGTGGGTACCCCGACCACATTGTCCCCTATTGCCCTAACTATAGGGGGGCAAAAGGGAACAGCCAGTAGAGGTGCCAGTTGCCTCTACCGGGGCTTCGAATGTTGAAAAATCAGAATCCTCCCATTCGAAGGCCCCAATGGCAGAAACTGAAGAGGAAGAAAGTCCCCATCTAGTGCACTGTCCAAAGGTGGCAAACGTATGCATCTCTCTAGATGGATCCCTCGCTGGCGTTGGTGATGAGTTAGCCGCTCGTCGCCAAGCCTGGACTGAAATGCGAAAGAAGAAAGGACAGCTAATAATTGCAGATCTTGAAATAAATCGAGTAAGCGTAGGAGGTATGATAGATAGCGGGTCTACACGCAATTATATTAGTAAGAAAGGTTTGCAAAAGCAGCGTCTTGGGCTTAAAGTTAAAAGGTTAAATGAGCCCATTGTAAGTAAATTAGCTAATAGCAGTGAAACTGTCATGGATCGATACGTTGAGGGGGTTCAGGTATACTTTCGGCTCGAGGCAGAGGGGAAGGTGGAACGTGTTCTCCACTCTCTGACCTTCTTGGTGGAGGATAACTTGCCCTTTGATGTGTTGCTAGGAATGGATTGGGGTGAGGCTGCGAATGCGGATCTGAAGTTGAGAGAACATGAATGTTGGCTCCCAAGTCCGCAAGGAGGTAAGAAGAAAATTTGCCTCTATCATGAGTCTGGGAAAGAAAGCAGCCTAGCTCACTGTTGCATGAGTGCCCCAGCGTTCGCTCACCATGTAAAGAAATACAACTTGTATGATCAAGTCTTTGTCGCATATATACGCCCAGTAAAGGAAGGAGAAACTAAGGAAGAAGTCAGGTCCCAAGAAATTGAGAGGATCCTGAAAGAGTTCGCAGATGTGGCTGAAGCCCCAAGCGGTGTGGTGGAAAGACCAATCCGCCACCGCATTGATATCTTTCGAGGGAGCGCGCCCCCGAAAGGGCCTATCTATCGTATGTCGCCCATGGAATTGGATGAACTGCGAACCCAACTCGACGAGTTGCTAAAAAATGGTTGGATAAGACTTAGCTCCTTGCCCTATGGTGCGCATGTGCTCTTTGTGCCTAAGAAGGATGGCGGCGTTCGCATGTGTATAGATTATAGAAGATTGAATGATATAACAGTGAAGAATGCTGAACCATTACCGCGAATAGATGATTTGTTGGATCGCGTGCAGGGTAGCAAAATATTTTCCAAGATTGATTTGAAATCCGGCTACCACCAGATTGAGGTTGAGCCGGAAGACCGACATAAGACTGCCTTCAGGACAAGGTATGGGCACTATGAGTTTATAGTTTTGCCCTTTGGTCTCACGAATGCCCCTGCCACTTTCCAAAGAATGATGAACGAACTATTTCGTGAGTGGCTCGATAAGTTTGTTGTTATCTATCTAGATGATATTTTGATTTTCAGCAAAGATGAAAAAGAGCATGTTGAGCACCTTCGACTTGTGCTAAATAAGCTAAGAGAAGAAAAACTCAAATTAAACCCAAAGAAGTGCGAATGGGCTAAGCGTCAGGTATTGTACCTAGGACATGTGATTGATGGAGATGGGGTCAAACCGGAAGATGCCAAAATAGCAGCAATCAGAGATTGGTCGGACCCCCGCACCTTAACTGAATTGCAGTCGTTTCTTGGGTTAGCCAACTATTATCGCAAGTTTGTAAGACACTTTACGATAATAGTTGCTCCCCTTCGCAGGTTGCTTAAGAAAGAAGTAATTTGGAAGTGGGATTCGGACTGCACTATGTCTTTCAAGCGTCTGAAAAAGTGTTTGATTAACGATCCGGTTTTGAAAGTGGCAGACCCTTCATTACCTTTCGTAGTCACAACCGACACTAGTCAATATGGTATAGGTGTTGTACTCCAGCAAGACGATGGGCATGGATACAGACCTGTGGAGTTTATGTCTTGCCGGTTACCTAATGAGAAAGTGGCCGCCTCGACGTATGAAAGAGAGTTTTATGCTCTTCGTGAGGCTCTCAATCATTGGCGACACTATCTTCTGGGAAGGCATTTTAAGGTATACTCCGACCAAATGACATTGATGGCATCGTAGGTGAAGATGTGTTTGGGAAGGGCGCGGCGCTTCCGGGAGCGCTGCGCCCCGTCGGGTTAGCTCTTTCACGCGGACAGTTCGGGAGCGCCCGACAGCCTGGAAACTCGCGCGCGCGACACGTGGGTAGTCTCGGCGCGATGGCGTCTTGGTGATGGGGTGATGAGGGGGTGGCGATCGGACGGCGGGAGGGTGGGGAGTTGGAGCGTGTTTCGGTGTCGTCCACCATTTGAAAGCACTTCGGCGCCATCTTCGGCTTGCGCTTCGTCCAGTGGTGTCACAGGTTGGCACGTTGGGCGAAGGGGAGAGTGCCTTCGAGCGGAGGTGGGTCTCTTTGAGTGGTTTAGCCTTCATGGCTTTTGCTCCTTGGTCGGCGTTGTGTTGTGGTGGGTGGTTGGGAGACGCGGACGAAACAAGGAGCGCGTGCTTGCGTGGAGCGGGAGGAAGATTGGAGGCGACATCGAGCGTGTTGACTTCGAACTTGGTTTATAATTTGGTCATCTGTGGCAATGGTTTGCTATCGTCATCAGGACGACGTTCGTCATCGCAACTTTCAGCATCAGGGTATTACTCGCCTTCATCGTCAAGGCGTTTCATCAGCTACTCGTCATCATCATCAAGGCATATGAAACTCAGCGCAAATATCACCACGCACAATCGTCATCATCGTGTACTTATTATAGGACGCTGTGCGTCATCATTTTTAGCATCATCATTACTGCGATCATCATCATTGCCTTCATTGGCATCATTTCGTTGTTAACCTTTTTAGGTTGATTATCTAAAGTGCGTCACCATTCTTATCATCATCATCACTACGATCAACATCATCATTACAACAAAGTGCTTGTCAGCACACCATCATCTCTTGTAGTTATCATAGGGCACTGCGCGTCATCATCTCTATCATTATCATCGTCATCATCGTCATTGTCATTTCCATTAGTGCATCTTGAAAATCATCAACATCATCAATCATCATCACCATCGTTACTTACATCACCATCAACATCCCCATGAATATCATCCATATAATCATCAGCTCATTATCATCATCATCATTGTCGATATTACCTTCATCATCGCCATAATTATATCATCTTCATCATCATCAACATCATCATTAGTTTGTAATCATAGGGGTTGATGGTGTTGCTCTTCGGTAAGTTCACCAGCATCACCATCATCATCAACCTGTTTTCATTAGATGTTGTTCTGCATCAGTTCCCATTGTCATCGTCTTCAGGGTGCTGTTATCGCAATCGACAAAATTCGTCAAAATTCCAAGCAAATGATATCGGGTAAGTGAGTCATTAATTGGCTGGATTGGATTGTTCCTGGAGGGTTGAATGGTGGGAAGGGGGTGGGGGGAGCTCTATCCTGCAGAGGCATCGCAAGGAGGGGGGTGATTGTCTCAAAGAGGGTAGGGGCGGAGTAGGGGGTTGCCTTATTCCGGGGCAAGGACTGTGTGAGGGCCAACATCAATCCCTGCGGGGGGCGGAAATGGGCAAGGGGTGGGGGGGCACGCTTTAGGTGGGAACTGCGTGCTCCTGGGGTAAGGGGGGAGAGGATTGGTCCTATATTGGGGCCGMGGGAGGGTGGGTGACTCTCCTCGGCGGAGGCAGTGTAGGGCTGAGGGGGGAGGGGTAGGGGGAGGGAGGGGCGATCTCTCTCGAAGAAATCTATCATCCAGCTCACTATAGGTTTTCATTTGCTTGCCTTTCGATGAGGTAGTAGGAATAGGTGAGACCCGACAAATCCACCCATGATCCTGCGAGGGGTGGTTGAAAAGTCGGTGGCCCTCGAAGACCGATGCCGGAGCAACGGTGGCCGGAGCCGGAGCCAGGTGGCGCAACTCTGTGACCTAGCTTAGTGGGGGCGTGAGGCCTGGTAGAGAGGGGCTGTTCGCGGGGGCAGTCCCAGTGGTCATCGGGGGTCGTAACGGGAGCGATGCTGGTCGGTGCTTGAGCAAGGTGGTGCAACTCTGTAACCTAACTTGATGGGAGCATGAGTCCCGGAAGAGCTTCGGTTCGTGCGGATTCTAGCCATGTCGGTGGTGGTTGTAGGTGGATTGAGTAAGGTTCACCTATTCGTAGGACCTCTTTGGTAGGCTATTGCAGGAGAACTTGATATTCAGGATCTTTCTCCTGCTTTTGAATTTTATCGTGTTTATAGATGGTTGGGTAGGTTGCATAGTGATCATCTTTAGCCGAAGTCGAGTAACGGCCCCGGTATTTCAAAGTTTTCTGCAAAATTCTCTCAATATGTTTTTGAATGGGACGCTGGGCCCGGTTCCCAGCACGTGTTGCTCCCCACGAATAGATTGAAGCAAGTCCCAAAAAAAAAAAAAAAAAAAAGGTATACTCCGACCATGAAACGCTTCGCTGGCTCAAAACGCAAGCTTGAATGACACCTAAGTTGACAAGGTGGGCTGCGGAAATTGATATGTTTGATTTTGAATTGAAGTCAGTAAAGGGTAAGTATAACGTTGTTGCTGATGCACTAAGTCGTAGATCAGACTTTTTCGGTGCTATTGTGACTTATTTAGATGTGGGTGCTGACCTACAAGAGAAGATTAGGAAGGCGTATTCCTCTGATTCTATTCTTGGGACCATGATTAAGCAAGTACAAGAAAAACCAGCAGAGTTTCGTGATCATAAAGTTACTCAGGGTCTATTGTTCGAACGAACTGATGTGAATGATAGGCTATGTATACCAAATAATGAAGAGATCAAGAGTATGATCTTGGGGGAATGCCATGATACAGAGGGCCATTTTGGGTGGAAGAAGACCTACGRAACTTTGTTGCGTTCCTACACCTGGCCTCGAATGAAGGCAGACTGTATCGCGTATGTGCAAGGTTGTCAAGTGTGCCAACGAAACAAAAGCACCACGCAATCGCCCCTTGGGCTACTTAAGCCCTTGCCTATCCCTACCGGCCCTGGAGACTCTGTCTCTATAGATTTCATGGATACTAAAGTGAAAAGCGGAAATGGGAAAACGCAAGTAATGGTCATAGTAGATAGATTTACTAAGTATGCTGTTGCTGTAGCTTTACCTTCGGAAGCAAGGACTGATTTGGTAATTCGGGAGTTCTTTAACCATTGGGTAAAAGACTTTGG